AATACATTATTGCTCCCTGAGGCACATGATTTGACAAAGAACCAGCAGCGTTCAGAAAAATTTCAGAACTATTTTCAGTCCAAAAAGCCATCTTATGATAAAAATGCCTGCATTGCCACACCCCCTTGTAAGTAATTTTTATTATTAGAGGCCACAATATTTGCGTTTTCAGGAAAAATTGCAAAACCTGTGAAATTTATAGCCCCTGGAAAAAAAGATGCCCTATGGTACCAAGTATAATAATTATTATCATGATAACTTACTGATACGCTCAGCTGCTGCTCTGTCACCAGTTCTCTCAATAGCATTACGTAGAGAGGTCATTGTTGGACCTCCTTGAGCATCAACACCATCAACTCTCTCTAACCATTTCACGAGACACTCCTTAAGACATTCTCGTATGTTTACTCCACGATTCTGAGCCTCAATAGTATCCAGTGTATTTTTATCTAATCCTAAAGCCATACCAAGTACTTTCCATTTTGTGTGTGACAAGTGAACTTCATTCAATGTGTCAAGTACATAACTTAAATCTCTAATGTCTAAGACACGATCTATAGAGTAATAAATCATTAAAAGATATGATTCATAATGGATGTGTAGTAAATATTTGTATTAGTATCAGCATTGTGAGTAGTACAGTGTAATTGTATTTCATTACATACCAAATGGGTGGGCTATTAATACTAGACCAGGCACACTATACACGACATCCATTAATATGATCATACCTTTCATTGTCCTGTGAATAACTAGTGTAACAGGTTCAACCACACCTTCCATTGTCCTGTGAATAACTAGTGTAACAGGTTCAACCACACCTTCCACTGGTATACTATAAAGTAGTCTACGAACAGCATCAGGTTTAGCATATATTGATATAACACAGGAGGGATACATAAGATAATCAGGTTCACTAAATTTATCAACTTGATCTCTATATATCTATTGACACACCCACACACATTAATTATATATATACATGATACATGTACTTACTCTACAAGGTACTGTGTGAGGTTCAATACTCCATCCAGTGGTTGGCTTAGCTTGTGGAGTATCAAAGTTTAATTCAATAGAATCACCTTGCTGGTCAAATTTAAAGACGATAGTTTGACCTATCTCAGCTCGAGGGTGCTTTCTTTCAATATACTATAAATAAAACACATTAATACACATCATGTCCACAATACACCTCATTATAATATACTTACATAATAGAGTGGGCCTTCATCTTTAGCTACAATAAATGTTGCTGTACATGTATATCCATTTAAACCTGTCTCCTTCTCATAAAATAACATTCCAGTATATTCAGTATCACTTCCTAATGTAAAGTGAAATAAAGTGAATCAAACATTAACACTTAATACTATAACAAGAGCTAACCTGATCTGCCAGTGGCCATCTTGACAGTTCACTCCCACACAACAAACTATTTACTGATCACATGACACAAACTTATCATGAATAACATTAAGTACATTACAATTAACACACATCACACACATAAATCCCTCTTTATTGAATAGATCTATGTTATGATAATCTGGTTTAATAAATTCGACATGTATATGTCCTTGGTCATTTAAAAAAATACTGTTACTCAAACTTAGTACTGTACATGCATTACATGTTTTATAATGTTCTCCTTATCATTGTCTCTTTATCTCATTCCCAGAGATGTTCTATTAATGGCAGTCAGTTCACTCACACTGAGTCATTGTTCCCTCTACTGATATCAAGTGATCTTGATAGATCAGTCCTTCATGATCTCTGGTCTGCAGTTAATCTAACCTCACCAGGTCAACTGACACAAACTGAATTATATCAACTATTAGGATTGATTGGACTAGCACAGAATAGACAAGTGAGTCATTAACATGGAGCACTTTAATAATTTAAGAGTTTTATTAGTTACATTGTATTCTGTGATATTTATTTATTCATTTATTTGTCTATCTTGTTTGTAGAATGTTAAAGTGACCTTACATGATTTATTAATGACACCATCTCCTCCAGTACCGACATTAAAAGCTATTAATATCATCAATACTAGTAATGAAGGTAATTAATTACATGTACATGTATACTACCTGGTATACTAATAATAATAAATGTTGTACATGTAAACTACATGTACATGTACATGTAGTTTTATGCCTTAATAATAATAATTGTTGTTGTATGTGTATATGTAAAGTACATAGTTTTATTATTTATTTATTTTATTTTAATTTGTAGATGATTTTTGTGAATTCAAAGCTTCACCATTAGTCCCTCACAAGTTTGATGGGGTGGGGTCAGTAGGCGTGGCCTCAACTCCACCCACTACTCAACCAGCCAGTGATCCATCGGATCCTTACTCCGCCCTAAGAGTACTAGCCCCTCCCACTAATAACGACCCTGGCACTCAAGGCCTACTGACGATAAACAAAGAACCAGCAACACAACAGCAACAAAACCAACAACAAATTGATCAACAACGACATCATGATCAACAACATCAGATCCTCCATCAACAGCAGGAGCAGCTGCCTGTGATTAATACTGATGTACAACCCAGTACTGGTGATGGTTGGGCTGACTTTACTTCATTCCCTGATACCAGTCAACCACTGGCCACTCCTTCTATTGACACTACCACTTCCTCTAATATCATTAATATGATGAATCCTACCACTACTCCAGTAGTGGTAGGAGGGGGTCCTGTTTCTGGTGGGGTTGCTCCAGCTGGTGCCAGTGATGGGTTGATCTGGTCAGATGATGAATTCACTGAGTTCTCAACCTATCAATCACAAGATGTGTCAGTAGCTGAACCAGTTCTTTCATCTCCCTCTCATACTATTGGAAGAGGAGGAGGAGGTGGTGGTGGGATAGTGTCACCATCTCCTACTAGTCCAATGAGTAGCACATCAACTGATAGTAATAAGGTAATGGGGAGAGAGAGGGGGGGAGAGAGAGAGTTTTACATTTTTATAATTATATACATTTTAAAGTTATCATGTCTTAACTGTACATGTACATGTACCTTTAGGTTGTGAACTTTGAGTTATATTTTTATTGAATACATGTACACATGTACTTGTAAACTGTGCAATGTGTGTACATGCTTTATGTAGTACATGTACATGTAGACTCAGTAATATCTCAATAGCCTCCTACAAGTATAGGAATGCATGTACGTGTACATTTAAGTTTATGTTATTATTTTTTGTTAGTCTATTGGTTTGTCTGAGATTTGGTGTCAGTGTCTTCAGAAGTGTCTGGACCTCTTAAAAGACTCTCAGTCTCTTTTAACATCATCCAGCAATGATGAGGAGACACTGAATATAATCATTAATGAGAGAGAAGGAGAAATGAAGATTAAAGGTATTTATACTACATGTACATGTACAGTATCTTTTATATGTATTTATTATGTACATGTACATGTACATGTACATGTATATTACGTATAATCATAGATGTTCCATGAAATATCGAGATACAATGTCTTGTGATTCATGTACATGTACATGAATTATGCGTAATATTATTAATGCTTGTACTCTTGTTAGACTTTGATTGTTGTTTTAAGGTTGTTTGTTTGTTTGTTTGTTTGTTTGTTGTTAGGATTGGCTGAGTTGTATCGGTTTGCTAAGAGGCTCCACACGTCATCAAGAGGACAGGGAAAGAGCTTAATGTCACATTCAAAAAGTAAGAGAGTGTGACACATGTACATGTATTAATGCATATTGATGTACTTACATGTACATTAGATGGAATTAAGTTTAAGCCAATTATTTAAAACTTCATTTTTTCAGTTATTTGAAATGGCTCCAAAATCACCCCAAAATTTTATTACATTTTCTGATACATATCGATGTCCTTATGCTGTGTAGAAAGTTTGAGCTGATTCCGACTTCTATTTTTCATGTTACGGCCTTTTTAGGAAAATGTCAAAATTCTGAAAAATACCCAAGGCTATAGCCCATGGTTTTTTCCAAAAATGGCTCTGAAATCACTCCAAATTTTTATTACA